TTTTATTGCGGCATATTATGGGGGAACAGATTTTAAGGTTTCAATAAATGCCCTCCCCCCCCACAAGTCTGAGTTTCCAGCATGACCATCCCCCAGATGGTGCTCATCTCACTCCTTATGTATATATATATACCCACCCCCCTCAATTTCTCTGTTCTTTACAGCACAACTCGCAAGAGTTGTCTGTATGTACTCTCTGCTCTCTTCCTCTTCTTACAATGTCTCTGGAACCTACTGCATTTGATAACGTTTTGGCTGTTTTCTGTGCGCCTGATTTTGGCCACTGCCTCTTCCTCCCAGGCAAAGCCAGTGGGAAGCAGTTCCCCTGTCTCACCTCTCCTCAGAGGAGCTTGTCAGTCTTTGGGATTCAGGTCACCTGGTTGCTGTGTGACCTGAGCTCTTTGACGTGCTCAAGAAAAGTGAATATTTTGTAGATTATCTTTTTGTTTTGTTGTTGTTGCTCTTGATTTGGGAGAAACATTCTCTAATCAACTGTTGGGTCTCTAAGACCGAAAGAGATGGGCAATTACCCTGTCTCTACTATAAACAGAAAGAAATCAGTTAATTAAACCTCCCAGACGACACCCAATTCTGGGCTTAACCCAGTGGCCTTGGCTTGCGCCAGCTGCTCCCCTTGACAGGAGCATGGCTGAGGACTTAGAATCCCCCTCCTCACTGATGCCACCACCTTTAGCTGTTGCTAGACATGAGGCTGATGATCTGCTCCAGCTTCTGGCGCTACTTATGCTTTCGACAAGAGACATATTGGTCCAGAGCAGTAAGAATCTGGGGAGAAGGGTTCTCTGGAGGTGGGCTCTCAATGGGCAGCTTCTCCTGTGGAAAGCCCCCACTTCTAAGCTGGACTCTTCCCTGTCACACGCCTCAGCCCCTCCCTCCTCGCTCGAGACCCTGTGCTCAGCTGACCCGCTCACCTCTGAACAAACCCAACACTTCTGGATTCCAGATTCCCCTCCAACTACAGAACGTTCTTCTTCTCTCTGCACCTATAGTGCAGGTCCTCTGAGAGTGATCTGGACTCACTGTTCAAGATCCACCCCTTCCCATTGCCCCTCTAATCCAATGATCTCAGCTTTCACTGTAAGAAACTAGGGGGAAGAAAAGAGCATATTAGCTCAAGATAAGCAGAAAGACGACATAATATATAAAATAGCACAAATCATTGAAACAGGTAAAAGAGTAATAAGGAATACTATGATAAACTTTGTGACAATAAATTCAATGGCTTAGATGAAATGGAAAATTTCCTTGAAAGACACATATTACTACAACTGACACAAGAAGATAAAAGGTTCTCTATGTCAATTAAATACAATGAATTCATATTTAAAAACCTCCCACAAAGAAAACACCAAGCCAGGTGCTATATTGGTTATTTCTATCAAACATTTAAGCAAGAAACTGTTGAACTCTCATAAGTTTTTCAGAAATAGAGGAATGAGAGCAGATTACTGTGAAACAAATTCTGACAAAAACATTACCAAAAAGACAACTACCCAACCAAGATCCTTAAGAGCATGATGTAAAAATAATTAACCACTTCGGTACCGCGCTCACCGACTGCAAAACCTTGCCCACAGCTGGCACTCATAGTCTGCACGATAGTTTGTGCTGTGCATTGACAACAAATCCGTTTTGCTCTCATGTGATGAGGAAAGCTTTAAAGCACTGAAAGCTTGTTTGACTTTACAGGCAGCTTTACTTGTAATGTAAATCAGAATAGGTAACATATACATATATGTTTTCATTATGCTATTTTTAAATGTTCATAATTTTATTTCGATAAATGAAAAATTAGAAAAGTCACATCACGGCTGTCGGCTAAAGTCGCTATGTGCATTCATCTGTGGCTATTGAATATAGTCGACGCTGGTACTAAAGTGGTTAACAAAAAACTGGTAAATCAAATTCAACAATCTAGTGCATTAAGATCAAGTATGCTTTATCCTCGAAATGCATAGTTTAACATATGAAATCAATGTAATTCACCATATTAACAGAATAAAGGAGAAAAAATCATATGATCATCTCAGTAGTTGCAAAGAAAAAAGGTAATTTGACGCAATTCAGTACCCATTCATGATGTAAAACAAAATCTCAGGAAACTAGGACTAATGGGGAACTTCCTCAACCTATAAAGGGCATTGTACTTCATGGTCAAAAACAGAATATTTTCCCTGTAAGATTAGAAATAAGGCATGTTATGTCTATTCTTACCTTCTATTCAATAGCACACTTGAGGTCACAGTCATTGAGATCAGGCAAGAAAAAAAAGGCCATATAAATGTGAAGTGAAGAATTAAAGTTGTCTGGCTGGACGTGGTGGCTCACGCCTGTAATCCTAGCACTCTGGGAGGTTGAGGTGGGAGGATCGCTCAAGGTCAGGGGTTTGAGACCAGCCTCAAGAGTGAGGCTGTGAGACCTCGTCTCTACTAAAAATAGAAAGAAATTAATTGGCCAACTAAAAATAAAAATATATAGAAAAAAATTAGTTGGGCATGGTGGCACGTGCCTGCAGTCCCAGCTACTCGGGAGGCTGAGGCAGGATTGCTTGAGCCCAGGAGTTTGAGGTTGGTGTGAGCTAGGCTGACGCCACAGCACTCTAACCCGGGCAACAGAGCAAAACTGTGTCTCAAAAAAAGAAAGAAAAAGAAAGTTGTCTTTATATTTATAAAACATGACCATGTGCATGGATAATCCCAAGGAATCTACCTAAAAACTATTAAAACTATTAAAACTAATAAGTGAGTACAGCAGAGCAAGGTCTTCACATACAAGATTAATAAAATATTCATTGTATATATACTAAAAATCGCCAAATGGGTAATAAAATTTTAAAATGTCATTTATAATACCAGAAAAATTAAATAATTAGGGATAAATTTAAGAAAATTTGTTCAAGACATATACATGAAAACAATGGGAGAAATTGAAAAGGACCTTCTTCTAGGAGAGATATACCATGTTCATGTTCTTCTAATCAGGTTCAATGACTAGAAAACTTGATATGGTTAAGATGCCAATTCTGCCCAATTGATCTGTAGATTCAATCAAAATGCCAGAAGGCATTTCTGTAGAAATTCATGAGTTGATTCTAAAATTTATATGGAAATGCAAACGAACCTGCAATTGCCCAAAAAGTTCAAATGAGAACAAAGTTAGCTGAGCTGCTAGATGGCGGACGAGAATAACTGCCAGCCAGAGTATCTCTGCAAGAAAAACATATTTTAGAAGAAAGTGAAAAAAATAAAAATAAACAGGCAGACAGATTGGATGAGGGTCAGAAGGAATGGTGCCTGAAATTGTAGGAGACTCCATGGGAAGAAGATGCGGAGGAGAACTGGAAGGAGAAAAGCTTGGAGACTAGCGGCAAGGGTATATGGAGTGGTTAAATTTCCCCTCCCTTGCATCTCGGACTGCTGGTGGCCTCCTGAGCAGTTGGAGAGACCTGCCAACACCAGCCCAGAGATGGCTGCCACCAATGAGCCATGAGCCTCTTGCAGACAGGGCACCAAGATCCCAGCTCCCATGGGGTATCTCCCAACCTGCAGACCCCCAGCCACTAGGCAGGTGCCATATTGCTTCATTCTCCCCTTCCCCTTCCCTACCCTCATTTGCAAGGAACCAGACACTTCCTTTTGGGGCCCTACAGCAGACTGAGGGGTACTCAGACTCTGAGCTCCCTACTCACCAGCCCTCCCAGGTGCTGCTTGCCTGATGACTCCAGGAGAGCAGGGCAAATCCCAAGGTGGAGAGACATCCATCCAGCTTGGGCACCCTGTGGGTGACTTGAGACTCACACTCCTCTCCCTTGCTGTGTCAGGGATTGATCTCCTGGGCCCAGGGGATAGGCCTGCAGGCCAGATCCCATACACCCAGGTCTCAATCACATTGCCAAGGGGCACAGAAGGGATATTTTTGAACAAGCCTACTGAAGTGTGTGTGCCTTCAGAGGGGCAGATCAGCATGCTTGAGGGGCAACCCTCCTCCCACAGGAAGGCCGTGCACCCAGCCCAGGCTTCGATCTTTGAGCCCAAGAGTTTGAGGTTGCTGTGACCTAGGCTGAAGCCACAGCACTCTACTCAGGGGAACAGAGTGAGACTCTGTCTCAAAAAATAATAATAATAATTTCAGTAAAAATTAGTGTTAAAGTTGCAAAATATATGTTTGTATTATTGCTATATAGTCAATGTATAAATACAAGAATAAAATTACAAAATATTCCAAAATGTTGACAGTACTTAAGGCTGAACATTAGGACACAGTTTAACTTATTTGTTTCCTAAATTTTCTTCAATTAATTTGTATTACTACCTGAATTCCAGACACCCCTTCCCCAAGCAGGAAAACAAAGATAAGGACATCTAGAGGAAGTCACTGAAAATAAAGTCAGAAACAGAAAAGTAGCTGTTTTATTTTCTGCAGCAACAAACATTTAATCAGCCCCCTCCCTAAAGCAACAGAGAAACGATACAATTGGGCAGTGAGAGCCCAAAAGCCAATACAGGCAAACAAAGTAGGCCTTCTTCATAAAGTGGCAACTACTGCAGGAATCAATTCCCTATACATTGCCTGGTAGGGGTCGCAAGGTTAGGTTTCAGCTCCCTTTTCCCGGCCAAGACTTAGTGGAAAGGGAGGCCCAATGCGTTGAATGTTCCTCATCACCAAGGAAAGGTGGTCTAGGAAGGAGTTGATGGAAATCCGGAGGAGACCAGTGTCTTCAGCAGTCCATCTTCTAAAAGTGAGGTGAAAAAAATCAAGTTAAAGGTGATTATTTTACACCCAGTACACCACACCCCTCCTGAGACCTAACACTTAGGTGTCTCCCTATATCCGTTACAGAGTCCCTTGGGCTGACACTGGCTCTTTGGCTCGAGGACTTGCCACCACCCTCCACTTCAGCTCCTTCTAGAACTGACACAGCCAGAGCACTGCCATTCAGTGTGAACTCCTTTTGAACTGCCGCCTGCTGGTGGCGTTGGGCATCTGGGGCCATGGACCTGAGAGCCATCTCTGCCTCCAGGGGTGACCGGAAAGGCACGGTGAGAGTGCTGAGGGAGAAAGGGTTAAGGCATCATCTGCAACTGAATTTTTCAGTGTTTCAGGCCTCCTTACAGCTCAGAGGCCAGTCTTCACCCCAGGCTGCCCCTCAGACTACTCAACCTCACCCCCTGGACATGCACATGCCCAGTCTTGCCAGCTCAGGCCACCTTGGCCTGCCTCCTCCACTCAGTTCTCCTGCCCCATTTCCCCAACACCTTCATGCCTGTTTACTCACCCTCCAGCCCTTCAAGCACCAACTCTCCTCCCACCAGACTACACCGGTTCCCCTCTCTATTTTCCTTTTTGTCTCTTGCAGGCTGCCTTATGTCCTGTCCACAAAAGCCATCTCTGGTCCCCTTAGCCATGCAGGCCATCTGCCCCATCCCCAGCCACCAGGCCCCAAAGTTCACTGGAAAGGATACAAGACCATCTGTCGGCTTCCCGGTCCTAAGGCCAGTGGTGCTGCATCTCCACCTGGTCCTGAAACACGTGCGGTCCGTGCAACATGGGGGGCACTTACAGCTGCTGCTCCCATTGTTTCCTCCTCTCTGGGACCGCCCGGGCCTGCTGGGCCACCTTGGACCTCAACAGTGCCAGGGCCACCCTGAGAATGGGGGCCACCAGGGCCACCCTGGCCATCATGGGCACCAGGGCTACGCTGACTGCTAGGGCCTCCAGGGCCACACTGGCCACCCAAGCCCTGAGGGCTGGAAGAGCCGCTCTGGCTGTCAGGGTCACCAGGGCTAACCTGGCTGTCAGGGCCACCAGGACCGCTGGGGCCTCCTGGGCCACCCTGGCCTTCCTGGACATCTGGGAGACCAGGGTTGTTAGGGCCACTAAGGCCACCCTGACCTTCGGGGCCACCCGGGCCACCCTGGCCAACTCCTGTGCCAGCCGTGCTGCCTGTGCCTTCGTCTGGAGGCTGCATAACCGCTACTCTGACTTTCTCCTCAGAGCCAAACTGGAAGCCTCCGGTCCTCTCAGCTCCCTCACGATGCGCCTCTTTGTGTGCGCAATGCGCCTCGGGATCCCCAGTACGCCTGCGCAAACAGACGCCTTTTGAATCCATCGAGATCTTGATTGGTTCCTGCCCAACTGGCCCTGCGGGCCCATTACAGCCCGGTACTGTCTGACCAATAAGCGCTCCCTCACAAAGCTCCGCCCCTCAGAGCATATGAGAGCCCGGTGCACTTGTGCAAACAGACGTCTATATTGTTTTCTGCTGAGGGCGCTGCTGTGGTGCTAGAGACCCCAGGTGAGGCCGCTGCACATGTGACTGGTTCCCGCCCAGCCAAATAAATGTCCAGATAGATTTTACTATCACGCCCAGCCCGCCCCGCTGGCCTGCACAGAAGGCTGTGCCGATGCCCTGCCCACAGGGCCACCCTCCCCCATGACCGGTCCCTGGTTGTGGGTTCCTGTCAGGAGAACACTGAGGCGCCCTTCCGAGGTTGCGCACTTAAAAGCCGGGCGCGACCAGGGCTCTCCCCTGTTCCTGTGCGAATCAGCTTCCGCTGAGGACTTGAGGCACCCGGCTGCCTTCCTTCCGCCAGTGGCCCCCGTCGGCGGGTTCCCCTGGGCCAAGCCCGTCTGGTCCACGGGGCTCCCCCGCGCGCGCACGTGAGCCCCGGGATGCGGAGCAGTCACTCCCAGTCCCCGCCTGTCCTCAGGGAGCGCCCAGGCCAGTCCCTGGGGCTCAGATGCGCCTTGCTCCTTCAGCGACATGGGTCACTGCCCTTCCCTGGTTCCCGCCTTGCCTGGCAGGGGGTGGGATAGGGTGGGGGCCCTGAGGCCTGGGGCTCGGCTGGGCGCCCCACCGCCTCCCGCCAGCCAGGGGTTCCCAGGCTCCAGGCACACCACAGCGCCTGCAGGCCTTGCCCAACTGGACCAAGGGCTGCAGGAGGGAGGAGCCACGACCCCTCAGGGCAGATCCCAGTGGCTTGGTTGGTCACAGCCCTCGTGGCGTCTCCCTCCCCTAGGAACAAAGTCTTGAGGCTGTCTGGAGGGCTGGAGGTGCCAGGGACCCTCAACTGGGAGGTGACACTGTGTCTGCTGGCCTGCTGGGTGCTGGTGTACTTTTGTGTCTGGAAGGGGATCAGAGCAACAGGAAAGGTACAGCTGGAGGCGGGCAGGGCGGAGGCAGCATTGCCCAGGGAGCTGTGTGTCTCTGTAAGGCACAACTGTTGCAACAGGAGGGGCAAGGGCCTGGGCAAGTCTGTTAAACTCCCAGAGCCTCCGTGCCTGCTTCTGCAGACCCCAGACCCTTTCTGACCAAGGTCCTCTGCTGTGATGATCCCACTGGGTGGAAAGTGAGGGGAGGAGATTGAGCATTGGCTGTTCCTTGCTTCCTGCTTACTGATAGATTTCTTCTCTGACAGAAATTGTAACCTTTGCCCCAAAACAGTTTGAGGCTGCCTACTAAGTAAAGAGAAAAGTTGGCATCTGGCTGGGCGCGGTGGCTCACGCCTGTAATTCTAACACTCTGGGAGGAATTCTAACACTCTGGGAGGCTGAGGCGGTAGGATTGCTTGAGCCCAGGAGTTTGAGGTTCCTGTGAGCTAGGCTGATGCCACGGCACTCTAGCCCAGGCAAGAGAGTGAGACTCTGTCTCAAAAAAGAAAAGAAAAAGAACAGAAAATAAAAAGAAAAATCAATTCCCATACATAGATTTAAAAAATTAATAAATACAAAAGAAAAAAAAGAAAAAGAAAAGAAATGTTGGCACCATTTTGGAGTTATCTGATGGGGCAGATGGCAGGTGTCTAGTGAGTATGTGGAAGGTGGGGGCTAATCCTTTCCCAGCTCCTTTCACCCTTCTTAGCTCTGCCCATTCCCACAGCAGAGGGGAGGGTACAGGTGATGAAAGGAAGGCCTCGGGGTGGAAACTGGGGCTGTCTGTCCTGCCCTAAATTCCAGCACCTGCCCTCAGAACCTCTCCCTAGGGGACATCTGCTCCCACTGGCCCATTCCTCCTTAAGTCCTGAAACTCCAACTACAAGGTTGAACCTGTCCCACACATACATGTACAGTTGGGGAAACTGTATCTCAGGGAGGTTATGTTATTCATTTGTAAGCTTTGGCCAGTTGGTGGGATGGTCAGGAATAAACCCCAAGTCTTCTGATTTATAATCAGGTGCTCTTTCTCACATGTCTTGGATCATCCCAGTCCTCCATCATAGCATTCATTCCTAAATTCCCCGTGTGCTCTGAAGCTTTCCTGCTGCCCTTATCTTGGGGATACTCTAGAGGGATTATCCCTGTTCTTTCTGAGGTTGCCAACATTTGAGGACATACTTCACCACAGAAGAGTGTGGCCTCCTGGCCCCTGCTGTAAGGACCTTTTACTGAGATGTGAAGCTGAGAACTCTGGGAACAGGACCTCCCTGTGTAAGGACTGAGCCCACCTGTTCCCCACCCTTATCTAAGAAGACAATTATTTCTGTATTTCACAAAAACCATGATGACCACAGTGCTCCACCAAGCACTGGGGCCAGATTCTGTCTTGTAGTGAGATGTGTAAGGGAAGATGACAATGATAGAGTCTGTGTAGCACAGAGACAGAAATATATTCTGACAAAGATAGGGTGAGACAGAAAGAGTGTGTGTAACAGTGAATTTCAGAGAGTGAGAGGAACAGAGGGAGTGAATTTGTAGTTGAGAGAGAAAAGTAAAGGGAGGGGGTGTGTGACAGGAAGAAAGTTTGATTCAGAAACAGTGTCTGTCACTGTTGTGACAGTGTGTAGCACAGAGAATATGACACAGATATGGTCTGAAAGAAATGGGGTGTGAAAGAGAATAAATGTGATGGAGAAAGAATTACAGAGAGTAACATAGGAATATAATACATATGTGAGACAGAATTTAACAGAATGAATCTCAGTATGTGTTCATGTGTGTGTGTGTGACGGAACAGATATGTCAGATACATGAGTGTCACCAGGAATGACCCTGACAGTGGGAGACAGCAACCTGGGCAAGCATATCAGTCCTAAGCCCCAGCCTTCCCCTTAGGTGGGCTGTCCCAAGGTCTAGTTGACCAGAAAGGAGTTAGCAAGTTCAATTGGCTCTTGTACCTAAGTCACATTCTTGCGAATCATTTTATCAGTAATAAAGATGATATTAATATTTTAGTTGAAACACGTTAAAGGAAGTATGTCAAAGGTTGCAGATGGTAACTTAAACCTATATGAAAAGGATGAAAAAGGAATATATGGTAGGTGTGAGTAGACTGTATCAGTGAACTCCTTGGAGAGTATATAATTCAGGTTATCCAAATTTTAGAGCCACTTGTTTTCTCAAGATAAATCAGAGGCTGTAGCAGTGCTTGAAACTTAGACCAGAGTAACAGATAAATATGAGAAAAAGGAGAACAGGCCAGTTCATTCTGTGAGTAATGGGCAGTGGGGAGCAGGACTAGGGAGGCCCAGACATGCTCTTGTATGAAAGCTAAATGAGACTTAGTGGCTCACCATCAATTATAGATGATTAAATGAGTTCTTCCTTCCAGTTCCCCCTGGAAGAGGTACAAAGGTGAAGCTGTGAGCAGAAGTTTTTACAGGTATAGGTTTAGCAAACAAGTTTTTATCATCTGCACTAGGGGGAACAAAACATAGTGAATAACTAGATTCATATAAATAAGGTAGAAAGTAGGTATGGATTGTCTGGTCAGATATGTGAAGGATGCCACAAAGAACATACTGAGCAATATGCCAGCATGTTGATGATTTCTGCTGATGTTCACATCGTGCGAGGAAGATCATGAATTAGCCACACCGTCTAAGGGTCTAAAAGAAGGGCAGAAGTGAAAGTCAGTGGCACCTTTAGGAGGCTTCAACTTCTGCCTCCACAAACAGTGCTGTGATGAACATCCACATGCATACCCTCTTGTGAGACAAGTAACACCTTCCCAGGAGCAGAATTGGTGGGGTTTAGGGATGGGCACACTTAATTGGACCCAGTGGTACCAAATTCCTCTCTGCTATAACTGTACCTGTCTATACTCCCACTGTATCCTTGTGACCTTTCTGGGGTTCTTCTGTAAACAGACTATTCATATCCTTTTCCCACTTATTTTTGTTGTTGTTTTTGTTTATTTTATTTCTTTTTTATTTTTTTTTTATTTCAGCATATTATGAGGGTACAAATGTTTAGGTTACATGTGTTGCCTTTCTCCCCCCTTCCCGTCCCGGAGACAGAGCTTCAAGCGTGTCCATCCCCCAGACAGTGTGCATCGCACTCATCATGTATGTATATACCCATCCCCTCCTGTCCCCTCCCACCTGCTGGATGCCCAGTAAATGTTATTCTTGTATGTCCACTTAGGTGTTGATCAGTTAATACCAATTTGCTGGTGAGTACATGTGGTGCTTGTTTTTCCATTCTTGGGATACTTCACTTAGTAGAATGGGTTCCAGCTCTATCCAGGAAAATACAAGAGGTGCTATATCACTGTTGTTTCTTAAAGCTGAGTAGTACTCCATGGTATACATATACCACATTTTATTAATCCACTCATGAATTGATGGACACTTGGGTTGTTTCTACATCTTTGCAATTGTGAATTGTGCTGCTATAAACATTCGAGTGCAGATGTCTTTCTTATAGAGTGTCTTTTGCTCTTTTGGGTAGGTGCCAAGTAAGGGGATTGCTGGATCAAATGGTAGATCTACTTGTATTGCTTTAAGGTATCTCCATATTGCTTTCCACAGAGGTTGCACTAGTTTTCAGTCCCACCGGCAGTGTAGGAGTGTTCCTATCTCTTCGCATCCACGCCACCAGGACAACATTTTAATGGCTCTTCAATCCGTTTGATGTACTGTCAAATTTACTGATGACAAGTTTTGTGTTTTTAAGAGCTGAATACTAATTAGGATGTTTGGTCAAGTAAATTATGCTGCTTTTAAATTATAATTTGTTCTGTTGTTATCCTGAGGCTCTAGTACAGTAGCTATCACTCCGTAAATTGTTCCATTGAAATAGGACTTTTATGAATGGACCATTTTCATTCTAAAGGTA